GTGAAAAATGGGTTGCGATCTAGCTGTGTCGGTGCTGAGCTTCCCTTGGAAGGGGATTTCAGATATAATTCTTACTGGAGGATGCTTCTTCCTCTTTCACTTGTCCTTTCCTTGTTTCAGTGGAGCTCGTAGCATCTGGCTAGGTGCCCTGTGTGATCTGAGTCAATCATAGTCCCTTTGTGCCTCAGTTTCCTGACCCTTTAAGATAAATATCACCCACTAAGGGGCATTGAGTCGCTCCATTTGCAGAGGGACATTGAGCAATGCAGTAGCTCTCCCGTTATTGGAGTGAAGGAGAGCTGCAAATAAGTCTTCTTTCAGTCTTCAACACTGCTATGATATATTTTCACCCAGCCCCATCCTAACTTATGTGATTTTTTCAAAGGCAGAGCAAGATGTAGTAGGCTGTCAGTGCTGAGCAACACAAAAAGTAATGCAGTATAATAGAGACCAGACGTCTTAGTGAGTCTTCATCCTGTATTTTTGGTTGTTTGCCAGGGCTAATGTTTCTTATTCAAGCCAGGCAGGAGTGAGACTTTTTTTTTTTTTTTCTGTAAAGCCACAAATTTGTTCCAGTAGATCTCCCTTTGCTTTTGTGACTTCTTGAAAGAGATGTGCGCTTGGGTTGCTTCACTGACATGTCACTGCTTCATCGGTGGTTTCTGTGCTAATAGGGGCTTCCCTTGATTTTGTATTTAATCACCAATTGCAGTGCAGTTCCACCAGAGAGAGAGAGAGAGAGAGAGAGAGAGAGAGAGAGAGAGAAACTTGGCCCATTATGGTTGTGGGTGTAGGATGAACCTCATGAATTCAGCTCAGCCTGTTTTCCAGACTGTATTGCTTCATTGTGTGTAGCTGATGGGTTTTTTTTATCCCTGGTGAGACCAGTGATTTGGAGCAGGGGAGTTATGCTGAGCCTCGAAGCTGCAAAGAGAGGTAAATAGTACATTGCAATGTGTTTGACAAATGATGATGCGAATCACAGAAAAATGTAGAGGTGCAGGAAGCGGGGAATGAATTCCCTCGCCGGGAATTTAGGGAGCACTAGGAGTAGAGACGTTTCCCCAGCAGGCTCCGCGCTGGCCCCATTGCCAGGATGTCACTGAAAAAGCTGGGTGCACGAGCGTTTGAGGGGGGCTGAAGAGCAAAAGCAATGCAGCACGCTAATTTCAGAGCTGTGTCTGCAGTGGAGAGGTAACCCTGCAGGCCTGCGGGTGGATTTATCTTGCGCAGTTCCTTGATCTTGGTTTAACCCACTCAGCAGTTGCAGGTCTCGGACTGCCTCTTCCTTTGGTGCAGAGGTAGCACTGTCGTGCACAGAGCCTCCTAATGCATTGCTCCCAAGGAGTCCTCGCTTTCCAGAGGAATGTGTTGAAGGGATTCGGGAGTCCGGGTTGTCTGCGAGGAATCACTGGTTGCATGACTGTGTTCTGAAGCGCAGGTGCCTAGAAATAATCTAGATAATTTGTACAAATCTGATTTAGATGACAGGTCGGATCCAGGCTTTCCTATGGATGTTAAGGAGATTTAGCTGTCTAGGACCTGGAGCATGCGCTTTCTCGCTACGTGAACAGTTGAGAGAAGAACTGGAAATTCCACTGCATTTTGAATAAATAATAAGACTCTAAATATTTTTTTCTCCTGGAATCGGTGATCTGGCCACCCATGCACCTCTCTCATCACTTCTGTAGCCTAAGGAGAATCTAAGGGGATGGGTGCTGTTGGGAGAGGAGGGAGAACAACATGGGAAGTCATTCCCTTTCACGGGCCTTTCACTAGATGTTTTATTGCTCCTGTTTTGCTTCTGATAAACATGTTTCAGAGCTAGTCTAGAAAAAACACCAGTTACTTGGCTGAGCTGAATAGCAATCTTCACTGCAAAAAGAAAAAAAAAGATTTACATCCTCACTGGTGTGCTGGACAAGAAAGAAGAATAAAAGGGTAAAATTGGTGAGACAGAGGCACAATTAGCTTCTTTCTCTTCCTTGCTGAAAAATGAAGCTAGAAGTGCTGAAGCATTTTACCCCAGGCCTTGCAACAAGGCTGTAGGAGCTGGGAACTGGCTGGAGGTTTCTTAAATGAGGAGGTCATGTTTCCTTCCTCACTTTGGGTAGCTGTTTCAAATGGGTGTTTATGGGGAAAGAGATTTAATAGGAAATCCCATGCCCCCCTGCCCCCCCCCCCCCCCCCACCCAAGCTTAAAAGAGAAGGTTGTTGAAAGCATTTCCGTGCATCAGACAAAACAGCCTGGGACATCAAAAGCCCTCCATGATTGCACTGTTAGACTCTGATATTAGTGAGGGATGACTGAGCAGCTGGGTATAAAAGGTACTTTTGCACCCGGCATGTGGCTGCTGGTCCATGGTGGTGACTCCAACAGATGTCACAGCTGTTTTGTTTTGTTTTGTTTTGGTATTAGTCAGCATTTGCCAGTTGCTTTGATGCAAATACTTTTAAGGATTCCAGAATTGCTCAGATGAGCAAAGACCTCTTGCAACTCCTTCCTTCCTTCTTTCCTTGTACCCAGTTTCATAGTGGATTTCTCTTCAAATCTTGCTTTGCCGAATTTTGCTGAAGAACGTCCTTTTTTTTTGCTGGCATGGTGTTAATTTAAAAATTGGTGCATTTGGGATTTTGTGGAGCAAAGCAGGACTCACTAAGGAGGAAAAACAGCTTCCTTATGTTGCAGGATCTTTAGGATCTAATGACCACAAATATTTGAGGCATGCAGGATTTGTACCAAAGGGAATGGCAAACACAGAGGAAAATGTGTATTACTGCTGTGCAGACAGAGTGAAAGATGCTATTCATATTAATTCAAACTGCTGAACTTTGGTCAGGCTTTTTTTACCTAGTAGTTAGAGCTTAAGTGCTTTTAAAGCAAGAGGAGGAAATCAGTCTTCAGAAACTGGCAGTCACCTCTGGACCTACCTATGTTTTTAGTCAGCTGTAGTATTTAAAAAAAAATGTCATGGGTATTCTTTCTCCTGTCTCAAGCTTTAGTAGTTGCCTTCTCTTTCTGGCTGGCAGACCTAGGCCAGCGTGGCGCGAACTGAGTTGTTAGTGCTGACAAAAACCCATAATAATAATAATAATAATAACCTGGTGCCTGAGGGATGGGGAGTCAAATCCCTCCTGGCTCCACCGTGACCTTGGAAATGTCCCTGGCGCCCAGGGCAGTGCCGGGCATTGATTGATACCTGAACTGACCCAGATAGTGGAAGCGATACGGTCCATTTATCCTGGGACTCTGCCTGGCCCAGTTAGCCCTGCGGAGCGGCAGGATGCAGCGCGGACACCTCCGCTCCCCGTTTGCAGATCTTGCCTATCTCAGAACAGTTGTCAAGGTAATTGCAGGTAAAATAAAATACTTCAATCCCATGATGTCAGCAGGAGGGAACCTGCTGCAGAGAGAGAAAATCATCCCATCAAATTTGGGTAAATAACCAGCTATTAAGGCAGAGAAAATAGGTCTTTTCTCCCAGTGCAGAAGCTTTTAGCCTGTAAGACAGAATTGTACAGTAAATCTGCTATTTTAAAACCGTTTCAGAAGTGCCCCTCATTAGTTTGTTCCAAGATTATCTCTGGAATTTGCAACCAAGCACTGTTTTCTGTCTTAAGCATCTGCGTTCAGGTGGAGGGTGAGGAGCACGTGTCTTCTGGAGAGCTGTGACTGTAGCCATATGCATGCTTGTCCTCAAAAGGTTTATGTTACAGGCTAGCAGCTGAACGTAGTATTCGCTCAGAAAAATAGAGAGATAAAACAGGTAATTAAATTAGCTGGGTAGTGTCTTGCTGCAAGCCTCGCGACCTGCTGGCGCAGGTTCTGCGGATGAAACGTGGGCTTGGGGTCACACGGAGAACAGAGAGGCACAAAATTGTTCAGTGAACTTCTTCTCCAAAGACAGTAATTTTTTCCACTGTGCTGGACATGAAAAGCGGGAGGGAATTGGCAATCTGCTTGCAGTGCTTAATATTTGTGAAAGGCATTGTGCCCTTATGCTGATCACGAGCTGCCTTGTTGTATCGTATGAGCAATAAAGGAAAGCAGTCAGGACTGCAGTAATGATGTTAGATTGAATAGAGGGCCTTATTTTGTTTTTAGAGGACAATTTCATTTGGCACTGGCCAGCCATAGAGATGCGCTGCTGTGCTTTTTATTGAGCTGGGAAACTAGGAAGCGTTTTCAATCCTCGATTTATCTGACATTTAAAAAAAGTCATTAAGTGCTAATCGTCGGAGAGGGCTACATAATCTGGGTGTTAGCATCTGTGCTTTCAAAAAAAGGGTCCTTATCACGACAAATTTGGGTTTTGCTCCAGAGCAGCATGCCGTGGCTCTCCAGCAGGAGCGTGGGCCAGTGCTTGCCTGCCTCCTGGGACCGTTGGGAGAGTTCACCTTCAGAGCGCTAAGTATTGATATCAGCATCAGTCCCAAAGGAAAGTTAAATGTATAAAAGCTGAGCACAGGGTATACTCGAGCAAGAAATAGAGCCCGCTGGGTCCCCCCAACTGAGTCTGTGAACCTCTAATCCCATTAGCCACCCTGGCATCGATCCTTTGGGGCAGTGAGCGGAAAGCAGCCTGGTTATTTTGCTCACTCTCATTCTCATTTTGGCTTGCTCAAATTTTTTTTTATTGTCATGGTAACAGGGGGTGAGTGGAAATCTTGTATAATGGCTGAGAGATGCTTACAGCTCTCTTTCAAGTCTGAGTGGAAGGGGCACCGAGGAGACCTTTTAGAGCCCAACGTGGCCACCTTGGCTTTGTGCTGGCACAGCTCGCATTGCATGTATTGGTGCGGCTGTGTGGGTCCATTCCCTGTCTAGACAGTGGCCTTTGGAAAAGGTTCGCACCAAACATCATTTCAGCTCTGTATATCTCTTGAGGTGTATTCCAGAGTGAATTCCTGCTTTCCCAGCTTCATATCAGTGGCCGGCTAGAAGTGCTCTCCTTCTCAGACTATGCCTCTAACTCCTTTCTGTGTTGCTTGCTTTGCAGCCTTGAAACGTGCAGACCTGTCACTGCTATGGGAGACTCTGTTGCAGACCCAGCCCTAGGGACAGGCTTGGATCAGGCGCCCAGCTCGGTGTCACAGGGGAATGGCGGGACATCTCTCAGCGTCATCGCGGAAGGAGTTGGGGAGCTGGTGGTTATCGACCCCGAGGTGGCAAAGAAAGCCTGCGAAGAAGTCCTGGAGAAGGTCAAGTTGATGCATGGTGTTTCCTCGGACAGCTTAGCAAAATCAGCCAATAGCAACAAGGCAGAGTGCACCCTGCGGACTCCTGCAGATTTGGCGAATGGAGACATTGGAGAAGGCTGTGAAATCAAGTGCTTGGACGACTCACCTGACACAGCCTCGAGGATCCAGGAGGAGGATGAGACCACGGCCAACACGGTGAAAGTTGCCCGGAGGCGGCAGAAGAATAACTCTGCTAAGCAGTCCTGGCTCCTCCGCCTCTTTGAATCCAAACTCTTTGATATCTCCATGGCCATTTCATACTTGTACAATTCAAAGGAGCCTGGGGTGCAGGCTTACATTGGGAATAGGTTGTTCTGCTTTAGGAACGAGGACGTGGATTTCTATCTGCCACAGCTGCTGAACATGTACATCCATATGGACGAGGACGTGGGCGATGCGATCAAGCCCTACATTGTGCATCGCTGCCGGCAGAGTATCAACTTCTCCCTGCAGTGTGCTCTGCTGCTGGGTGCCTACTCCTCAGACATGCACATCTCCACTCAGCGACACTCCCGCGGGACCAAGCTGCGGAAACTCATCCTTTCAGACGAGTTGAAGCCAGCCCACAAGAAGAGGGAGCTGCCATCTCTGAGCTCAGCACCTGATATGGGGCTGTCCCCTTCCAAAAGGACTCACCAGAGGTCCAAGTCAGACGCCACCGTTACCATCAGCCTGAGCAGCAATCTGAAGCGCACAGCCAGCAATCCCAAAGTCGAGAGCGAGGAAGAGGTAAAGTTGGGGCTCTCCAAAACCAGCCTACCTGGGAAGGCATGCCTGTGGGGACATGCTTGTGTGGTTTGTTCTCATCTCATATTTCCTTTGCTACAGAATTGTTATGCTAGTTACTACAAAGGGTAGAAGTTTTGCTTCCTCTGTCTCTAAGCAAACTGGTGTTAAAATTCCCATGAAGGACATCACACTAAGGAGAACTGGTAGTTCAACTCTAGTGATGTCTAGGTATAGGCCTGTGGTTTATACTTATATGTTGTTCTGTGCGGTTGTGTAACATTCCCTGCAGCCCCTTCACCCCCACATCCAGGGCATTTCACCTCCCCAGCTACTTCTTCCATGAAGCTTGCAAACCTTGACTCTGCCCCTCTGAGATATCTCCAGGAGGTTTATCAGGGAGGGATGTGTGGATGGGTGCACGCCAGCAGGGTTTCTCTTAAATCTCATTTCCATGGAAAGTCAGGTTCAAGGATATGTTGCTCTTGTCTGAGGCTTTTATCTGAAGGTGCTTTTTGAATGTGGGTGTGCCAATCCTCTGATTTTACTTGAGGAAGTTGAGGCTCCAGAAGGGGAATTTTCTTGGTGTTGAGGGGAAGGGAGGATACTGGATGGCTTCGCCGATAAGGCAGAAAGCTGGATTAGGAGAACCGAGTCGGTTCCTAAGCTGCTGAATTCCCACAGGATTTGGGTAACTAAGTAGGTGTCTTGGTGTTGCAATCTGCAGCCATCTGATCATCTGATCAGTGTTGAAAATCTCATTTCCTCCTTGTCCTGACTTGTTCAGATTTAGCAATGGGGAGGCTTATTAGCAGGTGGAAAAGGCCCTTGGCAGTTGTTGAGAGCAGGTTGCAGGTTCCTTTTCTGACCCCCAGGGCTTGCTCTCGCAGGGGGCAGGTGCTCTGAACTGGAGTAAACACACACAGAGATGCTGGTACCTGTTGATAGCTGCAGAGAGGTTGCAGCTGTTGCTAACGCTGACGTGATAAATAGGTTAATAAATATGATGAGCATATCTGGGGAAGATGAGCAGGGGGTCTCATCCTCACTGGAAGTTCTCCTTGCTGCATGGGAAAGCTGTCAGAGGGGGTGCAGAGGTGCAGCACGTAGAGTGGATTGGGTCTCTGCCAAAATTTTTCCTCTTATTTACCTCAAGGAAGGAGCTGCAGAGCAGTTCAGAGCCCGGCGAGGCTAATACATAAGATAGCTGGAGGGCACGAACACAGAGGTGAGGGGCAAAGCAACCGTTGCGGTCGCTGCCAAGGAGGAGAGGTCCCTCTGGGCAGGTAAAACCATCAGCTCTGCCCTGTCCCAAAGGAGTCTCTGCTGCAAACGCCCTTCCAGCTGTTGAGACCAGAGCTGCGGCCATAGCGTTTGTCCGAGCCTGACACCCTTGTACTGTGATGACCTTGCTTTTCAATTTTGACTTTTTGCATAGCTCCAAAACGGTGCAAAGCCGAACTTTCCCTGCTGGAGGGGTTTGGCTGCGTGGAGGGGGGCTCTTCCAGTTTACAGTGTTGGGTGTTAATTTAATTTAATGCCAAAATAAACAGGATTAAATAGGTGAGCTTAGGCGTACCTATGTTACATGTCTCCCAAACCTGAATAATTGCTCCTGTAGGACTTGCAGCATTTATTTTTAAATACTGAGAAGCTAAAGCTTTGCCACTGAGCTGTGGTATCAGTGCATGCCATGAGACTGTGCATGTACTCGCTGGCTAGTGAATCATTTCTTTCTCACAAAGAAAATACAGATACATTAGTTTCATGTTTGCCGATAGACTTTGGGGACACGTATCACTTGTCTGGGCTGGAAACTTTTTGGCCGGTTAAAACCACCCTGCTCTTAGCACTGGTGCTGCTCTCCTGCTAATTTCCCCACTGTGGCCACCCATGAGCAGGTGGGTAAATGAATCTTTCATGTCACTGGCCCTCAACTCTTTGGTCAAAAACAACGAGCTGATAGAAAGCAGGACGCGCAGAGGTGTCTCATGCTCACGCTGGCTGCAGCTGCTGGAATAATGGAAACCGAAGCTTTACATAAATTATAGATGAAAGCAGCACCGAGGATAGTTTCTCTTGGCAAAGTTTTAAATGTATTTTGATCCAGCAGCCACGCAAGCTATTTAAATGTTGCACAGCAATGGAGATACTCAAGGTGCCTCAAGAACTTTCCTGGCCTCTAAATCTCCCTTAACCAACTTCCTGGACTTTTATTATTTTAAGTGCTTAATGTTATTGCCTAGGATTTGAAAGCAGCAATCCCTTCTGCAAAAGCTGGTCGCCGGGTTGGTTCTTAACGCTCAGGAAAAGGAGCTGGGCAAGTAAATCTGTGCTTGGGTAGCTCTGGAGCTAACTGTGAGCCCCCTTCCCATCCCAAAAGCTTATGTTGGGACTGTGCAGAACTTGCCCAGCCCTCAGCATCAATTCTAGCAAACTCAGGTCTGCTTTGAGCTCCGATTTGTTTTTCCTTTCTTCCAGGAAAGCAGGGAATAGCAGACATGTGTTGCACTAGGACCAGCCCTTATCTTGCTCCCCGCAACCTAAAGGTTTTGGAACAATAACCAAAGGGCAGCCCCCACTGCTCATCTGGGAGTTATTTTCATTCCCTTTCTGGCACTGTATTTCTGTTGCCAGTGTGTGAGTCGTCCTGCCACGGGTCAAGACCCCACCACGCAAGGCGCTGTATGCTTGGAGCAACGTAATCAACTTCTTGGTACCAAGAGCTGATGAGAAAGGCTGAGGATGTGCCTTGGAGGCTCCTCAAAGTGAAAAGCAGCATAAGAGATCATTTAGAGAAACAAATCAGCCCTCGAGGGTTTAGTAATAATTTGCTGCTTTTCTCAAGGAGGTTTTTTTCTGGCTGAAAGCAAGCGCCCAGTGAAGCAGCGGTCGTGCAAATGGACAGCGGCATTGGTG